GAACCAGAGACATTAGAATAAAGAACAAACTGACAGTAACCAGAGGGGAGGTGGTAGGGGATAATGGGAGGAAAAGGGGGAAGGTTTGTCAAGCAACGTGTATAAAGGACCCATGGACAAAGCCAAAGAGGGTCAGGATCAAGGGTGGGAGATACAGATGGGTGGGGTAGGGGGCAAAGGTCGGGGGAGGGGAATGGAGACAACTGTGCTTGAACAGCAATAAACACAGGAAAAAAAAAAGCAAACACAATAGGTTAGGTTTTACACAATTAGTTTTAAAAACCAATATTCCAAGGGGAAGGAGCTGGCACCATGGAAAAGGTTACAACCACATGTGAGAGAATATTCTTGGTATTGTCATATGGAGAGTGCTTGTAAGTTTTCAGATTATGGCTTTTCAAAAAGATGCCTGTTTCTCTTGTTGAGAAAAATTATTCAAAACATAAAAACAAGGCAAAAGGGTGACTGAATGTCCTTTTGATACCGTGTTGCAGCACTGTACAACAGTTCTGCCCAAGGATTATTTTATTCTCTGGACTCTGGATCTTTGATGGACATACTACTTTCTATTGATTAGGGTTTGTAATCTGTAAACTTACATGTTAACTTGTATATTTTTGTTCAACAGAGATGTCTAATAGAAATGCTCACTCCCAGGGTTATAGTTTTATTGGCCTGTAGGATAGTAATAGCTTTGTTGCTAAGTTAACAAACTTATGTCAGCATGTTTTTCCTGTTTGAATAGGTAAAAGATTTCTTTATTATAAGTGAAGTAAAATTGTTACACACATTCATTCTGTATTAGGGGATGGGTGGGGTTAGGATGAAGAGCTGGGGTCTAGCTGTTCCTCTGAAAGAACTTGCAGCCACTCTGCTTTGGGCTGCACCCTGCAGCCCACCTTCAGAGGGCCTTCTCCCTCAAGTCCCTGAACTTTTCTGGGGGGTTCCATGACATGGATTGTCCTACTTTTCATTGAACTTCTACCTCACAGGCAATTGCTGTGTCTACTTCATTATATCATATACCATTGGACCATCCACCTTCCAGCTTTTAAAGTCTTATTGTTCTATCCTATTGGCTGTCATCTTCAGAGGGCTTCTTGTTTCCTTGCAAGTCTGTGCCTTTAAAATTTTCCTTTCACCCTTTCTAGTGTTTCAAAAGGGACTATATATATATATATATGAGGTCAATTTGCCTTGTTTGAGTAAAATAGCATGTGATTCTAAAATATACCCCCAAATATAGCAGTCGTTTTTTTCTCCATTGCTTGAAGGAACTCATCGAAGGCTGAGAGAGGATCAAAAAGTCCTGTGGATTCAGTCACTTGTACCTCAGTCCGATCTTCTCTAAAAAGTCCAATATCTTATCCTGAACATTAGCAATGACAGTATTTTGGATCTCTAATGATAAGCTCAAAATATTCAGTGTTTTCAGTGCATCACTGAATTGCAGTCGGGAAGTAGCAAACACTGGTATATGCAGAAGTAGTGTTTACTGGCACAATCAGTGGCATGCTTATATGAGCATCATTTTTCTTGATAGTTAATACACTCCAGTATGGAAAAGCCATCTTGTATATGCTGCCTATTTCTTTTCACTGCATACTGAAAAAACAGGCACTGGTGGTAGCAGTTTAGTCAGAGTATTTCAACATTGAATGAAGAAGCAGGTTGCTGACATCTGGCTGTCCTGAGTAAAGAAAGGAGTGTGAAAAAGTGTCACTTTATTCATACGCTATAGCTATTGTCTCTTACCATCCCCCTCCATATCATTCATTCAATCTCTGCTTGATACAATTTCCTGGTTTTCCTTTGGAAGACCAACCCCTCTTGTATCTCAGATTCTGTGCTTTGGTGAGATTTGAATACATCCCCAGTTCCAGAGATGGATGGTGTGACTCAAGTGTGGTCAGTCAAAGCATAGCATTCCCTTGGCCAAAGAAGCTGATTCATGGATGGGCATGTGACCCAATTAGACTTAGCCAGGGAGATTTAAGTAGATGTTAGCTGGGGCTATTGGAAGAGTGGCCAGTTGGACTTCAAGCTGAGAGCGTGTGCAAGTAGAGCATCTGGGAGACTCTCTATGGAGCCTGAAAATGAAGCTAAAAGAGGAGAAGGCAGAGAGGAAAACTGGAGACAAACAGTTTGTGGTGATATTGCTGGAGTGCTTGAATGAAGTTACTTGAGACAATAAATGATCAATGGCTTAAGGCAGTTTCAACTATTTTTCTGTCACGTGTCACCAATCTGAGTCACCTAGCAAAGCCCTGCATTGCTGCATGCCTAGCTGGTGCTTCAGCAGCACTGGCTTCTACAATATTTTTACCTAAATGAAAAATTGCTGTGTAACATGGGTATTGAGAGAGAAAAGAAAGCACTGAGCACATTTCACTCATGTATGATCATTTTATATGCCAAGAACAAATTTACTGTAGCTGTGATGTGAAATATCTATTCACATAAACACCATGAGAAGTGCTTGTTTATATAGAATACCACTGATATTAGTGGACGTACAACAACATCATTTGATCGGAGAATTTTGGCAACTGGCCATTCCATTTTCCTCCTTAGCATAACATTTCCATTAACTTTGTGAGTGGTTTTACAAAGTTCTTGGCAGTAGTACAAATTGAACCTTTAGCATCCTGGAAAGCACAATTTTTAGCTTATTCTGGAAATTCTGTTGGTTTACCAGAGAGGTCATTGTGCTTTGTTTGTGAACAGTATTCAAAGGCTTCAGTGGCTTCCTGCCACCATGTGACAGTTTCGGAATAGGGAAAGCAGGGGGATCTAGAGACAAAATCTAATTTGTATATAATTATTGTATTTTTTATTCCTATTCTTTTTTGTCTGCCCATCACACTTATAGATTCTCCTGCCCAGCAATACAAAGTCAGCTGTATTTTCACACAGACTTCTTATGCACTTGTGCTCTTATGAATTTATTCTGCACTGCAGTATATAGATAACTTTTTCTTAACTGCTTTCATGCTTCAATGGACCACTGACCCAGTTTTACAAATTGGGAATATGAGGAAGTACTTTGGTTACAACAAAAATGAAAGTTAGACAAATGTAAGTAATAATGCACAGGGGACATAAAAATACATTAGCTGAGATCAAATGCCCATAGCAACTCAATGTTAGCTGAAAGAAACTGATCAATTGAGTTTTTATGGTGCATGCACAAGCTTTAGGATTGTAATGATAATTGAAGTTTCTGTGAAAAATCATAATTTATTTTACACTTCAAATTTATTGCATGTATGTGGACACAATTGTTTTATTTTTCCTCTTGAGACTCCTGAACTGTACACCCCTTCTGAGGACTCCAGGCATTACCAGTGATCTGAGGACTGCACTCAGCCAACACTTCTCAGAGGATACTTGTTGGAAGGTAACCAAGAAAGCCTTGACAGTAGGAGGGAGAGCCATTGGCATCAACAGTATGATTTACCAAAATATCAGTAGCATGGGACTTTTAAGATCTTCCCTCTTACTAACTTTCAAATATATAATGCAGTATTGTTAACTATAGTCACCATGCTGTACATTATATCCCAGAGCTTACTTATCTTATAGCTGAAAATTTATACACTCTGACCAACAACTCCCCATGTCCCCCACCCCTCAGCTCTGGCTACCACCATTCTACTCTCTGTTTCTCTGAGCTCAGTGTTTTTAGATTCCTTTTATAAGTGAACTCATAGATAGAGTATTTGTCTTTCTCTGTCTGACTTACTTTATGGATGGCCTCAACATCTCTCCATATTGTAGCATATGTCAGGATTTCCTTAATTTGTATAGCTGAATAGTATTTTATTGCATGTTTATACAACATTGTTTATATAGGTAGTGATTCATCTGCTGATGAGAATTTGGGCCAGATAATTATATTATTAAACATTTTGTTATTTTACATGTTTATACTCTATCTCATTCTTATGTAAATTAATTTGAGGGAGAATTTTCACATATTTAAAAAAAAGAAAGAAAAATAAAACAACAAAACTCACTTAGAGTTTGCCTTACTTATTTACTAAATATGTTTTGGATGTGTGGTTTGAAAGTTGCTAAAAAGAAAGTTTTAAATTAATTTCATGAAATTAAAATGGAATCAATGATTTTCTGGGTTCAGGAAATTCTTCTGTGATGAATTATAGATATAAATATTCATATATGTTTAAATGTACCTATAATAAAGAATCTTCAGGTGTCTTCTGTGTTTTAAGTCAAGTAGATCAGGGGTCCCCAGCCCCTGGACTACGGACCAGTACTGGTCAGGTCTGTGGTCTGTTAGGAACCTAGGAACCGGTTGCACAGCAGGAGGTGAGTGACAGGCAAGCTAGTGAAGCTTCATTGGCATTTATAGCCATTTCTCCATCTCTGGCATTACCACCTGAGCTCCGCCTCCTGTCAGATCAGTGGCATTAGATTCTCATAGCAGCGCAAACCCTGCTATGAACTGTGCATGTGAGGGATCTAGGCTGCACACCCCTTATGAGGAGAATCTAGTGCCTGATGATCTGAGGCAGAACTGAGGCGGTGATGCTAGTGCTGGGGAGCAGCTGCAAGTACAGATGATCATTAGCAGAGAGGTTGGACTGCACAGAGGCCGTAATAAACCAACTGCTTGCAGACTCATATCACAACCCCTATGAGTGAGTGGCAAGTAACCATTCAACTGCATCTGGTGGCAGGCTGTAAAGCCATCCCCCACTCCCGTCCAAGGAAATATAGTCTTCTATGAAACCAGTCCCCAAAAAGGCTAGGGACTGCTGAGCTACATACGTGAAAATCAAGGATGACTCAACAAAGAAATAGAGGTGATTAACAAAATGATTCATAATGAAATTTATTTTTAAGCCTGAGTCTCTTTAAATGTCAGTTATCTTTACGAAAATGTGGTTTATACAGTTTCGAAACCTATCTGAAACATACCCATTGTGTCAAGCAAGACCCCACTGAGCTATTAAAATGCTTTCCTCTGCAGGGTGGGAAAGTCAGGAAGCCCGAGAAAAGTCTGGAGACCTGCCCTCTCCACCTGGACACCCAGATCGAGCTGCCTCCTGTGGTCCTGCCCTCAGGAATCACTGGCTTCTGTTGAAGACTGATCCAGGGTAAGAAAGGGGCAGGGGGAGGCAAGATTTAAAAGGCCACCCTTTGAGAAGGCTCAGTTTCACTGCTCTCCCTGCCTAGTCTTTATGTTTGTTTTTAGGTGAAGTAGTCCAAGGTGATCATGGCATTTGCATGATGTAATGAAGCGGCCAAGACAGGCAACACCCCCAGTGTGAAGCATTGCTTGTCTGTATCAGTGTGGATTGGTATAGGCTGGGAGTTAAATTCCTAGCATGATTTAGGTATAAGAGAGGAATTAGATTTGTTGTCCTACCCGCAACACACTGTTCTTTCTGTGCTCTGACAAGGAAATAATGGAGAGGTGATAGGGACATGCTGTATAGTTTAACAACACTAAAAAATTTGAGACATAATTCACATGCCATAAAATTAACCCTTTCAAATGATGTAATTCAGTGGGGTTTAGCATATTCACAAGGTTGTACAGACATCACTACTGGTTCTAGAACATTTTCATCATGTTCCAAAAGAAACCCTGTAGCCACTGGCAGTCACTCTCCATTTTCCTCCAGTCTGTCCCCGCCCAGCCCTAGGCAACCGCTCTGTCTCTCTAGCTTTGCCTGTTGTGGTCGTTTCATAGAAATAGAATCAGATAATATGTGGTCCTTTGTGTCCAGATTATTTCACTTAGCATAATGTTTTCCATGTTGATCCATGTTGTAGCATATACCGTTACTTCAGTCTTTTTTAATATCAAGTAATATTTCATTGTACAGATAGACCACATTTTGTTTATCCATGCATCAGTTGGTGGACATTTGAGTTGTTCCACTTTATGGATAAAGGAATCATACTGCTATGAACATGTGCGTGCAACTTTTATGTGGGCATTTGTTTTCATTTCTCATTGCTGGGTCATATGGTAACTCTGTTTAATCTGTTGAGGAACTCAGACTGCTTTCCTAAGCAGCTTCACCGTCTTATATTCCCAACTGCACGGTGCGAGGGTCTGATTTTCTCTGCATCCTCACCAATACTTGTTATTATCTCTCTTTTTGATTATAGTCATCCTAGTGGGTCATGCTATATATTTGATGAACTCTCATAGACTTGCCTAAATACATATTTTAACCCAGTTGTTAACTCTGGGGACATAAAAGGCTTATAAAAGTTTTCTAATAGTGCTTTTAAATCCTCATTGTGCATCAAAGCCTTTTTCTATCAATGCGAGTACAGCACTCTGGTTCCAAAATGGAAATAATTACAGAGGTGATAAACTCTTCAGTTCTTTAATCCACTGTTGTTATTTTCATCATTACTGAGTTGGCATGTGTGGTAATATAGAAACTGTTTGCAAACACACATTTCCTCAAGAGTTTCTGAAGCTAAAAAAAGAAAAAAATCCAGCTTATTAGTGGATGCTCCTGTTCCTGGCTCCCATTTCAGTTAAGGGGTGGAGTTTTGTGAGGATAATCTGCCACATGTGAAATAAACATCCTTTTTCAAATGAACATACTCTTCCAATTTCTTTCAGTGCAAAAGGAAGGCAGGCATTGTCGGCCAGATGCGCTGAACTTTCTCATGAGGTCACATTCCTTAAAAAAAGGCTTGAGTAATTGCCAGATATGTCACTATTTTCAAAGAGAAAGGCATAACCTAATATTGTTATTTTGTTTAATATTGGTGTCTAATGTTAAGGTTTGAAAACACTTAGATGTAGGAGTCCAGGTGAGAGCTTGCACATTGGAATTAAAAAATGGGACTGCTAAAGGGTGTTCATAAAGATTGTATTTTATTTTAATATAAAATAAATAGCCCTGGCTGGTGTGGCTGCTCAGTGGATTGAGTGTCATCCTGCAAACTGAAAGGTCATGGCTTCGATTCCCAGTCAGGCCACATGCCTGGGTTGTACGCCAGGTCCCCAGTTGGGGCCTGTGCGAAAGGCAACCAATTGATGTTTTCTTTCACATGTCACTGTTTCTCTGCCTCTCTTTCTCCCTCTCTTCCCCTCTCTCTAGAAATAAAGACATAAAATGTTCAAACATAAAACTTCAAACATGAAAAATTAGATGGATAGAATTCTCCTCTTTTACCCATCACTTAGCTAAAACAGTTGTCAACATTTTACAATTCTTGTTTCAAACTAGTCCTTCCCTGCTTTTTTCTTTTGTGCCTGAGTTCTTTAATACAAAATCAAGATATTATGTCATGTTGCCTGTGGATCATACAGAATGCATCTGTATTGTTTTTCATAAACACTATGACCTTATGTCATTATCACACTTTAAAAATAAATAATATCATTTAACATCATCTAATACACAGTCCATATTCAAATTTCCCATATGGTTGACTGAGTTTGTTTTTAAGTTTTTTTTATTATGGGAAATTCAGACATATACAACATAAAAAGAATAATAAAAATGAACCCTCTCATGTATCTATCACCCACTTTCAACAATTATCAACTCTAATTTAGTTGTTTCATCTATAATCTCACATGCTCCCCCATTACAGTTTTATTTTTCTTTCAAATACATTTCTTTTTGTATTGTGGTAACATTCACCTAACATAAAATTCACCACTTCTGCCATTTAAAAGTGTACAGTTAAGTGGCATTTAGTAATTCACATTCTTTTTTTTTGAATCTCTCTCTTTTTTTAATGTTTATTTTCCTTCATAATTCTTTTTTTTAAGTGTATACTTTAAAAAAATTTTTTTAAAGATTTTATTTATTTATTTTTAGAGAGAGAAGGGAGGGAGATAGAGAGAGAGAGAAACATCAATGTGCGGTTGCTGGGGATCATGGCCTGCAACCCAGGCATGCACCCTGGCTGGGAATCGAACCTGGGACACTTTGGTTCCCAGCCCGCGCTCAATCCACTGAGCTACACCAGCCAGGTAATTCACATTCTTGTGCACTCATCACCACTACCTAATTTCAGCAGGGTTTTACCAGCCCAAAAGGAAACCCCATGCCCCTTAAGCAGCCGCTCCCCATTCCCCGCTCCTTCCAGTCCTAGTAAACACTAATTTTCTTTCAGTTTCTAGAATATGCACATTCTGGGTACTTCATATAAATGTATATCCTTTGTAACTTTGTTTTGTTTAATTTTTAAATTGTTCTTCAATTATAGTTGTCCCCATTCCCCCGCCATTACTCTCCCCTGCCCTACCCACCCCTACCTTCCACTTTCAATCCTCCCTCGCCATTGTCTTTGTCCGTGGGTCCTTTATACATGTTCCTTGACTTGACCCTTTGTCATCTTTCTCCCATTACCCCTCCCCCTGGTCACTGTCAGTTTGTTCCTTATTGCCATGTTTCTGGTTATATTTTGCTCACTTGTTTGTTTTGCTGATTAGGTTCCACTTATAGGTGAGATCATATGGTATTGGTCTTTTACCACCTGACTTATTTTACTTAGCATAATGCTCTTCAGTTCCATCCATGCTGTTGTGAAGGGTAGGAGCTCCTTTCTTCCTTCCTTCCTTCCTTCCTTCCTTCCTTCCTTCCTTCCTTCCTTCCCTCCTTCCCTCCTTCCCTCCTTCCCTCCTTCTTTCCTTCTTTTCTTTCGAGTAGTATTCCATCGTGTAAATGTACCACAGTTCTTGGATTCACTCATTTACTGATGGGCACTTAGGCTGTTTCCAGCACTTGGCTATTGTAAATTGTGCTGCTATGAACATTGGGGTGCATAGGTTCTTTTGAATTGATGAATCGGGATTCTTAGGGTATAGTCCTAGCAGTGGGATCACTGGATTGAAAGACAGTTCCATCTTTAGATTTTGAGGAAATTCCATACTGTTTTCCACAGTGGCTGCACCAGTCTGCATTCCCACCAACAGTGCACTAGGGTTCCCTTTTCTCTACAACCTTACCAGCACTTGTTTATTGATTTGTTTGTGATGGCCATTCTCACTGGTGTGAAGTGGTATCTCATTGTGGTTTTAATTTGCATCTCTCTAAGGGCTAGTGATGCTGAGCATCCTTTCATATGTCTCTGTGTTGTCTGGATGTCCTCCTTGGAGAGGTGTCTGTTTAAGTCCTTTGCCCATTTTTAAATTGAATTGTTTATCTTCCTGGTGTGGAGCAGTGTGAATTCTTTATATATTTTAGAGCTGAAACCTTTGTCCAAGGTATCATTGGCAAATATATTTTCCCATACAGCTGGTTCCCTGTTCATTTAGCTGATGTTTTCTTTAGCTGCCTAAAAGCTTTTTAATTTGATGTAATCCCACTTCTTTATTCTTTTCTTTATATCCCTTGCTCTAGGGGATATATCAGTGAAAATATTGCTGTGTTCAGGAATATCTGAAATTTTCCTGCTTATGTTCTCCTCTAGGACTTTTATGGTATCACAACTTATATTTAAGTCTTTTATCCATCTTAAGTTTATATTTGTGTAAGGTGTAAGTTGGTGGTCGTTTCATTTTTTTGCATGTAGCTGTCCAGATTTCCCAACACCATTTGTTGAAGAGGCTACTTTTACTCCATTTTATGCTACTGTCACCTTTGTCAAATATTAATTGACCATAGAGACTTGGGTTTATTTCTGGGTTCTCCATTGTGTTCCATTGGTCTCTGTGTCTGTTCTTATGCCAGTACCAGACTGTTTTGATTACACTGGCCGTAATAGAGTTTGATGTCAGATATGGTAATCCCTCCTACTTTGTTCTTCTTTCTCAAAATTGCTGCAGCTATTCAGTGTTGTTCATGGTTCCAAAGAGAATTTTTGAAATGTTTGTTGTATATTTGTGAAATATGTCACTGGTAGGGATTGCGTTGAATCTACAAAGTGCTTTGGGTAGTATGGACATTTTGATGATGTTAATTTAATTCTTCCAATCCCTGAACATGGTACATGCTTCCATTTGTGTCTTCCTTAACTTCTTTCTTCAGTGTTGTGTAGTTTTCTGAATGCAGGTCTTTAACCTCCTTGGCTAGGTTTATTCCTAGGTACTTTATTTTTCTTGTTGCTATGGCAAATGGGACTTTTTTCTATATCTCTTGTTGTTTGAAGTGAATCTGAAACACAATATAATTTCACTCATAAATACTTTACACTATATCTTTATAAGGACTCTTCCTTTATACTTAATTATAAGAGTATTATCACAGTAATTACTATCACAGAATATCTAGCCAGTGTTCAAATTTCCATTTGCATCATAAGTGCTATACATTTGTTTTAGTTTGTTTGAATGAGGACCCAAATAAGATCCACAGATTATGATTAAATGATTGCACCCAAAACCTCTTTCCATGTAAAGATTCCTTATCATTATCTTCTCTTCTTCCTCGGCATTTATTTGTTGAAAAAAATTGGCTTGGAAACAGTCCCTCTGTCTGGTTTTGGCTGCTTGTTTCTCTGTGGTGGTATCTAAAATATTCTTCTGTCTTCTGCATTTCCTGTCCATTGATAGTTCTGTCTACAGTTACACTGTCCTGTATTGTGGCCACTGGCCATATGTGGTTGTTGAGTACTTGAGATGTGACTAATGGCAAAAAGTCTCTCCTTGACTAAACTTGAGTCAACCTCCTCTGACTCTGAACCTTTCTGACTAGGTTCTGGCATTGTGCTTTGTCCTTGACCTGCTTAATTCAGTTATAGCAAGAATCCTTCCAGGTTAGTTTAGTGAAAATCTCCCAATCTTACTATCTGATCAAGTTCCTTATCCCCTATCCTCAATGTCTTCTCCTCCTCCTGGCCTACCTTCAGTTGACTTAATCCTAGAAAACTCCCTCTAGCCTTGATGTTTCATCTTAGTAATATTTCATCCACTGATCCCACTCTGCTCCTTGGCTATAAATCTCCACTTGTCCCTGTATTTGCAATTGAGCCTAATCTGTCTCCCCTACTGCAAAACCCCAGTGTAGTAGTAAGCCCCCCTGAATAAAGTCTACCTTAACCCTCTTTAACCAGTATATGACTAATTATTTTCTTTAACACTAGCTGAACTTGAGATGTGCTACAAATATAAAATATGTACCAGATTTCTAAGACTTAGCACAAAAAGGAATGCAAACTATCCCATTTATACTTTTATATTGATTTCATGTTGACATGACAATATTTTAGATATATTGGGTTAAATAAATGTTAGTAAAATTAATTTCACATATTTATATTTAGTTGCTTTTACTGTGGCCACTAGAAGATACATGATTATATACTGGCTTGCTTGGACAGTGCTGATTGAGAGACTTGATGAGATTGAGGTTTGCTTTTTTGGCAGTTGTGCTTCACAGGTAGCATTGTGTATGACTAGTCAGAAGCATGTAATGTCTGACTCTCTTTTTTGGGAAAGAGTTTACTTATTTATTTTTAGAACGAGGGGAAGGGAGGGAGAAAGAAAAGGAGAGAAACATCGATATGAGAAAGAAACACCCATTGGTTGCCTCTCAGAGGTGTCCTGACCTGGGGATGGAACCTGAAACCCAGGATGTGCCCTGACCGGGAACTGAACCTGCAACCTTTTCCTTTGCAGGGTGATACCCAACCAACTGAACCACGCCAGCCAGGGCTGTCTGACTCTCTTTGTATATTATCAGCCATTGATGATCAATGTTTGGATTTATTTATTCATTAGGGGCTGCAAAATGGTGATATTTTAATTCTGCCATTCCTATTATAATTCTATTTCATCTGCTATTTGGTTCACTGGTGGTACAGCTTGATAAGGAAGGCAAGATCAATGTTTGATTTTTTTCTCTTTATTAATTCTCAAAATTATCAGTTGGCTCACTAGCCATTGATAGACTTTAAAAATATTTAAGGGTGCTTATCAGAATGATTTACAAAGCTTACATAGAAATGAAGATGCAGGTTTGTAAGCAAATTGAATACTATCTGCTCACAAGCTGAGATAATAAATGGCTTGTAGTCTTCAAGAATGTCAGGGTCATGAGACAAAGAAAGACTAAGAAACTGCTTCAGATGAAAGGAGGGTAAAGAGAAGTGAAAAATACAACATCTGTTCTTGAACTGGATCTGGATTAAGAAAAAAAAGTTTTTTCCTCCTTTTACTCTAAAGAACATTAATGGGACAATTAGTGACAATTGAATAAAGTTTGTAGATTAGATGATAGTCACTTTCCTGATTTTGACAATTATGTACAGTGGTTATATAAGAGAATATCCTAATTTTTAGGAAATGTACACTGAAGTATTCAAGGGTAAAGGGATATTATGCCTACAACTTATTCATAGGAAAAATATATCTAGGAAGAGAGTTGGAGGGAGGGGAGATAGAGAGAGAGAAAGAAAGCAAACATGGAAACCTTTGGGTAGCCTAGGTAAAATGTATACAGGCATTCTTTGTACTAGTTTAGCTATTTTCTGTGAACCCAAAGTTACTGGAATAAGTTAATAAACTAAAATAATGCTTATGAATTTAAAAAACCCTGTCCTCATTATAAGGTTATAAATACAGGGTCTGGCCGAAGTAAAGCCTGCTTGAATGTGGTTGGTAGAGTAATAATATGGGTGTCATAATTTATAGTTTTAATTCGAACATTTTGCCTAAAATGCCATATGATGTGCATGAGTGTGGTATTGTTATGTTACAGGATTACATCCTCATGATTTGGTAATAAAAGATTTTATTAAAAAGGAGGTGTTATTTGTGCCGGACGCTGTAGATAAGCATCGATTTGAACTCAAAACCAGTGCACTTTGCAAATTTGAGATTGAGCCTGTGAAGAACAAGACAATAGTTGGGAACCAGTTTTGTGAAGAGTTATGTGGTGGTTTAAAATGTGTCCATAAATTCTTTAGTATTCCGTTCAAGAACTGGAGATCAGATCTCCTCCTCTTGAGTACGAGTGGGGCTTAGTGACTTGCTTCTAACAAATAGAATGTGGCAGAAGTGGTGTGTCTCTTCTGAGACCCCATCGTATAAAAGACAGTGTGTTTGTGGAAGCACTGTCTTGGATCACTAGTTCTGGGGGAAGTTAGCTACCTTGTCCTGAAGCTACTCAGACAGCCTTGTGAGAAGCCTACACAAGGAGGATCTGGGGCCTTTTGTCAACAGCCCTGTGAGTGTGTCATCTTGGACATCTAGTGACTAGCTGGACTCCTAGGAAAAAGAATAAAGAAATGAGTGAAAATGTAAAATAAGACATGAAGTTGAGATAAAATCACATCACGAGAGTAGGTTTAAACTAGGAGGAGATTTAGTGCCAAAGGCAAATATAAGCCTCTTACGAGAGGAGATTTTGAAAGGATACTTTGCCCTTGTGTTTCTAGTACTTCCCAGGTAATTCTGATTCCTCCTTTAATTCAGTCAATCATTTATTGAGCACCAAATGATTAAGACATTCTCCTTTTTCTCAAAATGCTATCTGGAGACATCCTTGACTGTGAAAAAAATTTTTTCATGTGATTGTCCTTACTTCTTTTGTGTCTGTGGTTCTATATTTGAGAAGCAATCTTATTATTTAAAATTTATCTCCAACTCCAGGAATTTGTGGCGGAGTGGGCAAATAACTGCAGCTTTCCTGGCGCCCAGAGATTTGCACCATGCCAAGGCTCAAGCAGGTGAAACCACAACACATCAACTTGGAGAAAGACCAGGGACGGCAACAGCCACAGCACCGGGCCCCAGAGTTTACAGATGTAGCTCCAGCAGCACCTGTGGCAGGGGACCTGGGTACTCCAATGAACTATGTAGGGACTGGTGATGACATGATTGGGGACCAAGTGCCGGCAAAGAGGCCTCGTCGGGAGGAGACTCACATCTGTGAGAAATGCTGTGGAGAGTTCTTCAGCTTCTCTGAGCTCTTAGAACATAAGAAAAATTGCCCTGAACGTCTACCTGTCTTCGTCATGAATGACAGTGAGGGACTAGTACCTTTGGAAGACTTCTCTGGGGCTGTGTTGAGCCACCAGCCACAGAGTTCAAGCAGTAAGGACAGTCACAGGGAGGATGGTAGCAGCTCAAGGGATGGGAAGGAGAAGCCAGGGGCGGAGTCTGTTCTATACTTAAAGAAGGAGAGTACTCTGCCCCCCACACCCCAAGATTCAAGCTATTTACCCAAAGGCAAAGTGACCAGCACTAATGTGACTCTTCAAGCACTGTGGGGCACCAAGGTGGCAGTGAAGCAGCAGAGCGCGGATGCACAGCCTGCCTCCCTGCCTGGTGCCAACAGGATCCCATCGGTCCTGGAGCAGATCTTCTGTCTGCAGAAGCAGCAGCTACAGCAGATCCAGCTCATTGAGCAGATCCGCATCCAGATGGACACGTGGGCCGCCAATACCGCCCACTCTGGCACAGCGGGAGCTGACAACCTTAACACCTTAGGCAACCGTGTGTCTCAGCCAGTTTCTGCAGCAGTGGCCTCGCTCAGTCAGAAAGCTGGAAGTCAAGGTTTGCCTCTGGACACCTTGAAACAAGCCAGGCTACCTCACACAAACATCCTTCCCACCACCAGCTCTGTGTCCTCAGGACTGATGCCCTCCGCCTTGAGGCCGGATGGGTCGAGGGTAGTCCCTAGCCGCCTTCCAGGTACTTTGCTACCTGAGACCTCGAGCTCTGTGCTCTTCCAGAGCCCTTTCTCCACTGCGCCATTAGATCTGTCCAAGCAAGGGAAAGAGAAGCCACCCAACGTGCTCCCGGTGGATGTCAAATCCAAAAATCTGTCTGGCTTCTGTAAGCGCGTGTGTAAGTACTGTGGCAGGGTTTTTGAGACTGATACCTCCTTGCAGATCCACCTCTGTTCCCATACTGGAAAGAAACTCTTTACGTGCTCTATCTGTGGTCACTGGTTCACCAGTGAAGGCACACTGAAGGAGCACTTTTATCAACATCTCCGGGCGAAGGAGAACGCCCAGCTACATGCTGAGTTCCACAACAGAATGGCGATGGGCAGTGGTGCTCGCTGTGTACGCTCTGTCCCTGTCCCTGTAGGTGAATCTAGTCTCTCTTTAGGCAGCAGACCTGTCTTGGTACCAGGGGCCCCCAATGTAGGGCTACCTCAGAATCTCTTTTTGGTGAGTAATCCCAAGGACCTAAAGAGTGGCCCACCAGCCCAAGACCTGCATCCTAGACCTTCTCCAGAAATTGAGGATGGATCCATATACTCTGGGGTGGGGCCGAGCCATAGTTCCCTGAGGGTTGGTGGTTTCCAAGGGAGAGGAAGACCTGAGCTGGGGTCACATACCCTGAAGTTGCAGCAGCTAGTGAAGAACGTTGACAAGGCCACTACTGACCCCAATGAATGTCTCATTTGCCACCGTGCCTTAAGCTGCCAAAGCTCCCTCAGAATGCATTATCGCACCCATGCTGAAGAGAGGCCATTCCGGTGTACGGTCTGTGACCGAGCCTTTTCTACCAAAGGCAGCCTGAAGATACACTTAGGGGTTCACCAGACTAACACCTCCGTAAAGACGCAGTATTCGTGCCCCATCTGCCAGAAGAAGTTCACCAATGCAGTCATGTTGCAGCAGCACATCCGGATGCACATGGGTGGTCAGATTCCCAACACGCCCCTCCCAGAGAATCCCAGTGACTTGGCAGGTTCTGAGCTGATGGTGGTCAGTGAGAGTGGCAGCACAAGCGCCGCCTGTCACAATGACAATGCATTCAATGACATTGAATGCATTGATGTAGATGAAGTCAGCTCCCAGGATGCCCCCAGCAGCTCCTCAAAGGTCCCTGTGCCTCTTTCCAGCATCCACTTGGCATCACCCACACTAGGGTTCACCATGGTGACCCCCAGTGATGCCCCAGGAAAGGTGAGCCCCGCTCCTGTGGTCCTGCAGCAGCAGAGCAGCAGAGGAAAGCGTTCCGTGAAAAGGGGCGGCTTGACCAACGTCTCGTCCTCAGTGATGGGAGACCCACAGTCTCAGAGCCGAAGTCCAGATGTCCGGGAGACTGCATCTTTTCAAGATAGTCAAGCAGAGAGCGTCAAGTTTAAGTCTCCTCATGCTGGTGGCAAAAGAGAGAGGTTGGAGAATAGCCTCACTGAGATGGAAGGTTGGAGCAGTCTCCCATTTGACCGAGCCCAACCAGCCCATGTCAGAGTTGAAGTTAGTGGTGCATCTGGATCCTCAGCCATGTCCCCAGGCATGACACCTTTGGTAATGGCCCAACCAGGCCAACAGGGCAAGCAATATGGCCGCACATGGTACAGGGAGAACCACTCATCAGCCAGTGCTCTTCAGATTCGTGAGCAGACACACACTAGGAAGAAGTCTTTCGTGTGTAACATATGTGGACAAGCTTTCACCACCAAAGGCAAGTTGCAGGTCCACTATATGACTCATGTTGCTAACAATAGCTCTGCACACTGTGGGAGGAAGCTGGCAATTGAGAACACCACGGATCTGTCAGGAACAGATGGAAAGAAGCTCCCTGAGATGTTTCCCCAGGAAATCATGGCCCCTTCAGTGAGCATGGGTCCTGTTATGGGGAACCAGTACACTAACATGCCCAATGATGATCTGGCCACGAAGACCAACAAGATCTCAGTGATCAAGACTGTAGGCATTTCTACTCCCTTGGCTAGCCTGGGGGCCAGGTCCCTTGTCAGTAACACCGCTGTCTCCAAGGTAGATTCACAGCGTTCCCAAGCACCAGTTCCCTCACTTACTCGGGGAAAACAAGGTAGTGGTCAGCTAAGCTAAAGGAGAGCCCATTCAGAAGGAGAAATGCAGAGTGACTGCTCTAGTACCGGACATTTTTTGAACCCATCTCCTCCTGCTTGTTTTTTTACTGACGTGCAAATGTTTACAGTTGTGACCACAACCTCAGGCAAGTCCTACAGTCACAGTGTTGGTATGCTGCTTTGCAAAATCAACAACACAAGATCATACTAAAACAAATACACTGGTGTTTTTTCTTTTTTTATTTTGAGAGGTGGGTCTTGCAAAGTAGCCTTGTTACTTGTGACAAATCTATACATAAAACCTTTGTACAAGTTGAAGAAACTCACGGAAGGATGTGTTTCTTATTAGAAGTTCACATACTAATTTTAATAAAAATTTCCTTGGTGTAACTTATGCCAAGTAATTATGAAGATCCCGCCTCCCCCGCAACCTTAGTATTGCATAAAGTCTACGAAGTTGGAACAGGCAAGTCCTGTGTATGAAAATTTTAATTTATCTACTTCATTTATTTTTAACTTTTATAGCCTTAATCTCTCTTTTAATACTTTATGACTACTGAATTGTTCCTAGTCCCTGTCTTAAACCTAAGAGTTGATGTTTATTGGCGGGAGCAGCTGGATGTTTAACATGTTTTTGCTATTTTAATCACTTTTTGTGTGTGTGTAATATTAAGCAAAATAACAAAATATTGCTGTAATGGTTTAATGAGGAGGAAGAAGGAAAGACTCTAAGTCCTGGGTGGAGGAGTCTTTCCCCCTCCATGTGGAAATGTAGATCAAGGCTGTGCTCAAAAGTTTGTCTCTTGAGTTATTGCACCTGACTTTTGTATCAAAAATTTTTTTCCCCAAGTTGTGCCTTTCCTTCTAGAATTGTAAGTGAACACAGTAACAGTACCTGTTCACATTGTGAAGTGGATATTGTTACAGTGGATACACCAGAAGCAATAAATAAATAAATAAATAAATAAATAAAACAAACTTATCTCCAGAGAAAATTTATGCACCTGGGAGAGAAGTGCTATGTGCCTGAGAGTAACAGTTCACAGAACATGTTGCTGTGGATGTAAATCAGTTAACTGGAATTGTGATTTATGTACCTGTACTGTTGTATGGGTTGCCATACCTCCAAAGAAGTGATAATATGTATTTCTGGCCTTGCAAGGCCAAGACTCAGACCCTAGATGACCCCGTAGCCACATCAACTTGGTCAAAATAGAAAAGGGCAGGAAACAAAAATCAGGAATGAGCCCACAACCCATATTCACCATAAAAGGATTCTGTTTGTAGTGCTGGGAAAGCGGTCTTTGTTTATTGAGTGTGAGACTATATATACTCTACTGAAATTACTTAAATATTTACAGATCAACTTGTGCCACTCATGCTTTTTCTATGAGATGTGAGTCATATTACTCTCTGATGTAAAATCCTGGCTCAGGTTGAGTTCTCTGGGAGTAGAAATTGAAGTGGAGATTTGTGTGTAAGTGCTGTCTTGAGGGACAGGTCTCAGGCAAAGGGAAGTGAGGGAAATCCAGTGGGGCTGAAGAAGGAGCTAAGTAAGGATGTAGTCTCAGCTGGAGCCTCAGCCTGATCCCACAGGGCTCTCTGGAGCAAGATTTGTACCATAGAGCAAAGGATGGCTTTTTCTCCTTATTGTCAGCAAGCCATGGGCTATGGGCTGCTCTGTGGGCAGTTTGGAGGTATAACCTCGCTGAAAGTGGCTCCAGGTTGGCTGAGAGGAAGTCTTGAAAGAAAGGAGCAGCTGTGAGCCATTAGCAAACACTCACTGATGGATGTGTTGCCTCATGACGGGAATCTTGGCAGTGAACTAACAGTGTCTACAATAGGTCTGAAATTTTTACGTGGTAATTGTGTCAGAATCTGGCTAGATGTTCCCCAAACCCATTTCTTCTGTCTGGATACAAAGCTTGACTACATTGCCCAGACTCCCTTGCAGTTTGGTATGACCACATGACTCGGCTGTAACCAATAGAAATTGGGAGAAGGGATGTGTACCACTTCTGGCCCTGGTCCATAAACCCCCCTGTGAAAGCAGTCTTCCCTGCACCCTTTCTTGCCAGTTGTGCTGAGCTCCCTTTTTATCTTTATGACTGTCAGGTACAGAGCATCTAGTGCAGGGCTTTGAGGTCCCAGGGGATGGAGGAGCTCCTAGGTGATGTGTCTGAATGAACAACCCCTCCACGCCCCTTGGACTGTGCCATGAACAAGAAACAAATCATTATTATATGTTTGTTTCAGTAGTTAGCCTACGCTGACTCATTTAGTGAACCTCACATTTTTCAGAAACATGAATAGCTTCTGCAAATGTGATTTTCAGAATTTTATCAATTTAATAAATAATTCTTGCTCAAATTTGTGACGACTGCGGTGCTGAATAACTAAAGATTTTTTTCTTATTCTTTAAAACAGAAAAAAGCTCTGAGGTATGGGTGACTTAAAAAAAGCACTATGAAAATACATGGCTAGGGTAATTATTATCCAAAATACTGTTCAGGGAAACAAAGCAGGAAGCCGCCTTCCCAAGGTTAGACAGCTTGCTATTGTTAACGAGTAGTGCGAATGTTGGCTCCAGTTTGTCTGACATAACTGTTGGACTTTCCCAGTGCACAGAAAGCTTTTAACATTTCTGCTCAGCCATTTCCACGGCTACCAAAGGTTTCATTCCATGGAGAGAGGTCAGCTGTCTGATAACTTACATAAGAGACCAGCAGGGCTGCTGAGAACAAGCTGTTTGTTGCTCGAGAACAGCCACCTTGTCTATTTGTCAAGCTTTTGCTTCAGAGGATGGAATTGGTATAGGAAGGAAGAGGATACATTCTCTCCTTCCTACCTCCCTCCCCCCCACACGGGTGGATACAGTATATAACTTCACTAATGTTCAAAACTTTTTTTATAACTTTTAAAAAGATTTTATTTATTTTTAGAGAGAGAAGGGAGGGAGATAGAGAGAAAGAGAGAGAAACATCTATGTGCGGTTGCTGGGGGTCATGGCCTGCAACCCAGGCATGTGCCCTGACTGGGAATCGAACCTGCGACACTTTGGTTCTCAGCCCGTGCTCAATCCACTGAGCTACGCCAGCCAGGGAAAACTGGCTTTATAGGAGACAGTAACTCTTGTCCCAGCCTGCTGTCCCTCACCCATCTCTTCCCTGCCACCAAGTCTCTGGGGGCTCCTCCCTCTCCAATGATCTTACCTCTTGGTGGTGTCCCTTGCCTCTGCCGTTCCACCCATTCATCAACATCCATCTGGGGCCCCCTTCATCAAACCTTTCTGGCTGAGCTTTGGCTCATGAATTTTCTCTCTTGTCTTCTCAAAATCCCCACAGCACTTAGCCCAGGGTACACAATTTAGCACTTAATTATATACCATTTTTTGTTTGTTTTTATTGTGTTAGTTTTATCTTTTCCAGTGAGGCTGCAGACTCCTTGAAAGCAACACATTTTTTTTTAAATCCCCCACAGTATTCCTGGAGGGTTATCCCTGTTATATCAGTAAGTGTTGATTGATGGATTGATAGGCACAGATGTGAGACTTTCTACCCATCTCTGCAGTATCTGGTGCTTAAGAAAATCTGTCAAATATATTAAACTGAATTCAGTAATGCAGATCAGCTCTGAATCTAGTATTTAGTTGGGCAAATCACACCATCTGTGCATCCATTTTCTCATCTGCAAAATCCAGATAAAAATGTTTCTGTGAGGCCCAAAGGAGGTAATGTAGCTTTGAACTACCAAATGTTAGGGGTCACCATACCTCACATTTCTTTTCTCAGGAGTTGCAGGAGAAAGTAGGGTTTGGCATTTATCACAAGGAGTGGGTCCCTTTTTTAACCTCTGTTAGAATGGTGGGTCATTCTTAGGGAAGTGTGAGTACAATTGGGAAGGTAGGAAGGGAATGAACATGATCTCTTGGCTTCGAGTTTTCCTCAAAAGGTATTACAGTTGTGAAAAATACAATGATGGTAAGATTTTGAAATGGAAATTACCCAGCTAAGTTAGTCTTTACTGCTCCTAACTTATCTATCTTTCCTGTATGCTTGGCCCAAGCCTACTTCTGTCTTAATTCTCTCCTGGTATTGTTACAGAACAACAAGGGGGAGCTGGGGTTATATACTATTACCCGAAAGGAACCCCCCAGGTTCCTTATGTCTGCCGCCAGAGGAAAGACATCTCTCAGTGCCAGAGATCCGTGAAAAGGAAAGAAAATGTTTATTTAATGCTATACAGACTTAAAGGAGTGACCTAATGTCTTCATCAAAATCCCAAAGTCCCTTAAAACACCCACAAACACACACAGTCCTTCCTTCCCCCCTTTGCCCAGTCTGGGGTACTGTATCTCAGGAAAAGAAATAGAAGTCCGTGGCTCAGGCAGCCCCTGGTTCCTCCCAGTAATCAGTCTCAGCTGGTAGGCCTCCCTGGGTTCCCGGCACCACCAGCTGTGTCACCAGGATCTCTGCTAAAGCCGGGTGGTGGTTCCCCCTTCTAAAGCTGCGGGGGTTCCCAATCTGGCAAAGCCTTGTGGTTCTCTCTCCCAGGGCCACGGGAGTCCTCACTCAGCAAAAACCGCGTGGTTCTCACTCCACTGGCCCAGCCGCATGGTCCTCTCTGCACAATGGCTGCGGGAGTCTCCACTCTGCCAAAGCCACGTGGTTCTCCCCCCCAGGGCTGAAGAAGGAGGGTCACCACTCTGCCAAAGCTGAGTGGCAATTCTCTGCTAAAGCCGCATGGTGATTCTCTGTCACAGGGCCGTGGGAGTCTCCACTCAGCTAAGGGCTGAGTGGTTCTCACTGGTTCTCACACATGTCCACAGCTGCGTGGCTCTCCTGTCTATTGCCACAGCCGCGCGGTTCTCTGCAGTGCCACAGCCGAGTGGTCCTCCCTTTGATGGCTGCCGCGTCTGGGTTTAAATCCCTGCACCAGTCTTTCTCTGCAGCCCCATTGCAGACTCCTCCCACAATCGGCTACACCTGCCAGCACTCATATCCTTCCAGCTTCACTGGGCTGCCATCGTGAGTCTGGGCAGACGTAGCCCCGTGTCATGGAGCCAATCATCTCCAAGCCTCCATGCTGGTGCTGTAACTAGGGGGACCTGCCCCCCAGTTACCTCCATTCCCCTGGCTCAGAGCATGATCACAGCTATTTAACATATCTATGGAACCAGTTAAAGGTTATAAGGTATGTTAAATGACCACACCAGAGGTTAGCTGCAAAGCTGTTGCTCTGCAAAACAGCTCTCAAAGGCCCTGCTCCGTGTGCCCCCTCCCCCAACTCACACCTGAAGGGGAAGGGGTGAGAACATGTTTAATATTTCCTGAACACCTTGAGTTCTGGGCCCCATTCCAAATCCCTATTTGGCCCCGCCCCCCTTGGCTGCACCCTGTTACAGTATGTCTGAAGCAAAATGTCATGTAAGGAAAACTTAGAGAAGAGATAAAAACTTACTGCTTTTAGAGTGGATTCTGTCCTCTATTTTATTTCTTTAGATCCCAAAAGGGAAATACTACTTTGGCTATCATTTATAAATTTACATAATTTCCTTTCTCTTCTTATGGTATCTCCTCTCTCAACCATCTGCTGATGTTTTTTCTTTTCCTGTCCTTGGTCCTTATTTTAGTTGACCAGAATACCAAAGTATATATCATGGATGCTATTTCTTGAGATGTTGTTTGTTTTCTGTTTTTAATTAAAGCAAAACTATTTGGGATGAAAGTTTTATATAGCTCTTAAATCAAATTCTGAAACATGTTTTTTATTAGTGCATAACCCTGGACCGATTTTTTTCTTTGGATTAGTGTTTCCCAGTGAGGCTTCATACATACACATGTGTAGTTCTTCCCAAGGCCTTTTATACTCCTATTACTCTAGTATTTAACGAACGTCATTTTTTTTCCAGGTTCAACTCCAGGTTTGAGCCATCGCTCAGGAAGTGGCCTAACACTGTTGCCACCCTGCACACTATGGGGAGTCACTGGGACCCCATTCGTATGGCGATCTAGATCTTCCAGCTTTGCAGGAGTTAAGCAGTACTGCGGTGGAAAAAGGGAAACCTAATTTCCCAGGCGTCATTTCTTTTCTGGGAAGGGCAGGGCGTGCGTTTGACACCTGCTCCAGCATCCTAGGGAGAAAACACTACAGCCTTCCCTGCCTCCTGAAAAGCGCCATTCTCCATGTGGGTTCCCTTCCAAGCAACCAGGGCGGGCAGCCAAAGATGCCCCTCCTGTGCCGGGTGGGCGCGGAACGGCGTGGGCCCCTGCCCTCTTGGGCCAGGCAGTGGGGGGGTGGGGTGCAGGTGACCCTGCGCTGGGGTGGAGGAGCGCAGGAGGCGCGCTGGAGGCGCGCGGGAGTTAGTTACCAGGTGAGGCGCGGGCGGGGCAGCGGGGCGGGGCTGGGGCGCGATCCCAGGCTTGGATTGGTTCCTGCCGCGCCTGTCTCCATGTGCCTGGCCGCGGAGGCACAACATTCAAGTCCGGGGGCGGGGCGGCGGGCTCCTGGAGGAAGCAGCCCCGCGGCAGCTGCGGGGCGTGGGGGCGGTGGCAGCCGAGGCCGAGGCTCGGGCGGCGAAGGCGGCGGTGAAGGCTGCGACTCCCCAACCGGGGACGGTGCTCCGCTGGGCCTCTTTCCAGGCCCCATGGAGGCGGCGGCGGCGGCGGCGGGTACGGGCTGCGGCCCCGGGTCGCCGCTACTGCTGAGCGACGGGGAGCAGCAGTGCTACTCCGAGCTCTTCGCGCGCTGCGCTGGCACTGCCAGCGGGGGCCCCGGGTCCGGGCCCCCTGAGGCCGCCAGGGCCGCCCCGGGCGCAGCCACCGCAGCCGCGGGCCCGGTGGCTGACCTGTTTCGGGCGTCGCAGCTGCCCGCCGAGACGCTGCACCAGGTAGGTCTTCGTGCCCCTGCGGGTCTGTGGGGATCATCTCTGTGGGGACCAGGGGCGAGGTGGGACGACAAGGCTACCCACAGGGACCTGGATGCCTCTGCCAAGTCGCAGAGAAGGGGCTTCGCAGCCGGGAATGGCGGCGACGCCCTTGTCCCCCGGGGGACACCAGCCTCTTCTGCAGCTCAGCAGTGCTGGGTGCGATTCCCGTCTTCGTCCCCTGAGACGGACTGATACTCCCTTCCCTCCTCCAGCCATTTCTGGGGCTCCGCAGCCGCTCAGACCCAAAGTTTGCCCTGTTCTGGAAGTGGTGTTTGTTTTGGCTGGTGTCTGGTTTAACCTCTATTCGCTGCTCCTGCCCTTCCCTCTCCTGAGTGGGTGGGAAGAAGTGGGCGCTGGGGTGCTTCACTGGGATTTGAACTTGAAGAATGTGTGTTGTGTGTGTCCATAGGGCTGGGGTCCCAGGACTAAATGTTGTCCGCTCTGTATACATATCTACTATATATATTGCCCACTAACATAGTTCTGAATGCTAGTATTAAACTGGAAAGCCGGATTGACAAGTTGCAGAGTGGGGACACACGGCTGCAAGAGGACACCTGGCAGGGCAGAGCCAAGTCTCCTATTTAGGGCTAGAGGTGGAACCCAGAGGTCCGCTGTCGGAGACAGCTGTATTGTCCATATTATCATTGCTTGGACTCGAAAACAGTATTGGAAAGTAACGTGTGTCGTAGCTACCTATCTCCTTTCCGCTGCTCCAAACCTGGAAAAGGAGGAGGGATTGATCCACAGCAGATACTGTTTTTCTCTTGTGCTTTCCTTGGAGCTTGGAGAAAGACTACTTGATAAGCACTTTGTCTTTTGCTATTACCAGCACTAAATGGTGATGAGATGCTTAATATCAAGCCCAAAACGTGAAATGAAGCTTATTCTTAAAAGCAATAGCCAGTATGAAATTTAACATCAATTGAATATTTAGAGTGGGGAGCGGTACTTTAAAATCTACTTCCAAAGGTGCACTGAGGGTTTTATGGTTCACTTGCAATATCGTTGCTTGTAGATTATTTTTAAAAATGTTGCTGGAGCATGCATATGCCTGCCTGTGAGCATAACTTTAGCCACTCTGTAATCTTTCACCTTTTAGAATTCAGGATTTCTGAAAATATAATTAGTATTCACGGAATTTAGCATGGCTGATTGTCCTTTAAGAAGTCCTTGATATGTAGGCAGTTCTGCTACTGCTGCTAAGCAGTTGAGCTGGACCAAGTAGAGAAAAATCGGTGCACTAAAACACAAACCATGGTTACTGCATCAGGCCCTCAGAAAATACCCTAGCATATTAAATGTATTAAGTGCTGTCACTGTTTCTCAACTGAAAAGGAATAAATGACTGAGGCCACACAGCAAGTGACAGCTGGGAACCTATCAAGGCTTATTTTGTTGTCAGTAATACTGAGTATATTGGGTAACGACTCCTTAGGAGTTGGGGGGGGGCAGCTTTCCTGGTGTCAGAACCCATGCTTCCTTGAGGTATAGATAATTTAAAAAGAAACCAAGGCAGAGTGCCTTTCCGTGAATGAGATTCTATTCTTCGTGTTCCGTGGAAGCCTGCTTGCAAGAAGACTGGCAAAAGGGGACCTCCCTAGAAGGTGGCTTGTAGTAAATCTCAGAGCTTTAAGCTCCCCCTTTCAGCCCAGCAAAACAAAACACACCCTTCCCCATTAACTTAACACAATTGCAGTAATCCAACATTCTTGTTACAGGTGAAAATTAATAGGAAAGGCATCCTGGACAGGGAAATGTAATCAGAAGAGATTCAAACAAAGCCAGCAGCCACTTAATTTTTACCAACCTCTTTGGTGGTGTGTGGCGTGTCTGAGTGTGTATGTGTGTACACACACATTTCGTTCACCTTGATTTGCACTCTCTCTATGAGTGTATTAGCCATTTTTAAAAACAAATGCAGACGTTTTTAGCCTTTTCCTGTTAAACAGGAACCTGTAAGTTCAGAATTAAATGGCCCAACAGGTATAACTGCTCAAATCATGGAGGCACTAACCAGCTCTGGAGTTTCTATGGTAACAGCCAGCATACAATTAAGATTACCATAATGTTGCAGGATGGGTGAAAAGCTTATCTGGATTAAATATTCTATAAAAATACTTAATTTTATCTCCTACTTGGAATAAAAATAAACCACTACCCCTGTTACTTTGTTATGGGAGTAAATCATCATAGGGATTTTTTCAGTTTAAATATAAAAAATATATTTATTAAATATATATATATATACACATATTTTAGCCCTGGCTGGTGTGGCTCAGTGGATTGAGCGCCGTCCTGTGAACCAAAGGGCGGCCAGTTTGATTCCCAGTCTAGGGCACATGCCTGGGTTGTGGGCCAGGTCCCCAGTAAGGTCCCCCAGTATGTGAGAGGCAACCCTACTTTGATGTTTCTTTCCCTCTCCTTCTCCCTCCCTTCCCCTCTCTAACAATAAATAAATAAAATCTTAAAAAATAAATATATACAAGTATTTTAATAGGCTTTTTCAGAGCATTTGGGGTTCACAGCAAAATTGAGAGGAAAGTACAGAGTTCCTATGTACCTACTGCCTCTACACCTGCACAGCTGTCCCCATGGTCAACATCCCCCAGCAGGGTGATAACATGTGTCACAATTAATGAACCTACATTGGCACATCATAATCACTCAGAGTTCATAGTTTACCAGTATGGTTCACTCTTGGTGATTTATTCCACTCTTGGTGATGTACAATCTATGAATTTGGATGAATGTATAATGACATGTATCCGTCATTATAATATCATGCAGAGTATTTTCATTGCCCTAAAAATCCTGTGTGCTGCACTTCTGTGCTTCATCCCTTCCTCTTACCCCCAAACCTTGGCAGGCAACTGATCTTTTTATTTTCTCCACAAGTTTGCCTGTTTCAGAGTCTCATAGAGTTGGAATCACACAGTATGTAATCTTTTCAGATTGGCTTCTTTCATTTAGTCATATGCATTTAAGAGTCTTCCATGTCCACTCATAGCCTAATGGCTCATTTCTTTTTAGTGCAGAATAATATTCCATTGTCTGGATGGACCATAATTTCTTTATCCATTCACCAACTGGAGGACATCTTGGTTGCTTTTTCGTTTTGGCAATTATGGGTAAAATTACTCTAAACATCTGTGTGCACTTAGGTTTTCAACTCCTTTGGGTAAATACCAAGGATAAAGATTGCTAAATCATATAATAAAATTATATTTAGTTTTGTAAGAAACTGCCAAACTGTCTCCCAAAGTGGATGTACCATTTTGCAATACCCCCAGCAGTGAATGAGAGTTCCTGCTGTTCCACATCCTTGTCAGCATTTGGTGTTGTCAGTGTTCTGGGTTTTGACTATTTTAATAGGTATGTAGTCAGTGGCATCTCTTCGTTCTTTTAACTTGCAATTTCCTAATGACATATGATTTTAAGCATCTTTTCATGTGCTTATATGCCATCTTGAATAATTTTAAAGCATCATAATAGCCTATTTTAAAAGGCCTTTTAGACTCTATGAGTATTTATCTTCATGTGCTGATTTATTTTAAAAGCAGGATTCTAGTACTACAAAGAAAAATAGTAGAATGAAACACTTAAATTAGAAAAGGAAAATAACCAATGTCTGAGGAACAGATAAATAATTTTTGTTTAATACTTTAAGGTGAAGAACTAGAAATGTAAGAGTGATGGGTTTCCCACTTTGTGAAGTATCTCATTGGTATTCAAAGGCTAGCATTTTATTAGAAGGCATAGGGTATTGTGGGAATCAGGTTTGGGTTTGAAGGGTATTTGAGGCATTTCAGTTTCTATTGTGTATCAGACAGACAGTGTTCTAGCTGCTAAGTTTATAGAAATGAATCAAACACAAATCCCTGTCCTCACGGAAAGTACATTCCAGTGTCAGTGTTTTTATTCTTCAGAGCTTGAGTAAGAAAAGATTTGAAATATAACATCTAGAAATAAAATGTCTACCTTAAACTGGCAAGTTTTTTGTTTGACATAATGAATTAGCAAACTCTGTAGACTCCTTTATAGTATCTGTCTTTTAGGATGGGTATCTTAGTCTTTGGGAATGCTGTGCATATTTCAAGTAGTCATTGTAATTGTTATTTTTATTGATAGGTAACTCATTTGTTTTGAAATAGTGTCTTTATTTTTCATTGATATAATTGACACATTATGTTAGTTTCAGGTGTGCAACATGATTTGATATTTGTATATGTTGTGAAATGATCACCATAATAAGTTTAGTTAATGTCCATCACCACACAGTCACAATTTTTTTTTCTTGTGATGAGATTATTATGATTTACTCTCCTAGCAACTTTCAGGCACAAAATACAATATTATTAACTATAGTCACCATGTTTTACATTACATCCCCATAACTTACTTATTTTATAACGGGCAGTTTGTACCTTTTGACCCCCTTTATCCATTTGCCCCCCTCCAGCAGCCACCGATTTGTTCTCTCTATGAGTTAGGGATGGTTGGTTGGCTGGTCTTTAGACTCCCCATATGAATGAGATCATATGGTTTTTGTCTTTCTGTGTCTGAGTTGATGGTTAACTCTTAGACATTAAGGGGAATAGTTATAAAACTCTGTTGATTTTTGTATTATCAGGGGAAATCACTGAATGGGAGAAAAGCCATTAAGTAATGTCTGATTGTTTAAGCAGCTCTGATTGAGATGAAGTAAAACAAAGCTGTGAGAAGTATGGGATATTCTAAAAATTTCCTGCACATGAGGCCTCTTTGGGAAGAAGTTATATTGACAGGGTTTCTTGTTTAGTCATTAAAGAAAATTATAGGCCAAAGACAAAATTCTTGTGAACTTTTTCCTGTTGTAGATTATTAGCCAGAACTATGTTTTAAAAAATGCAAATGAAACTTTTTTTTTATTTTTGCATCTTTATATTATATCACTTTGTGGCATATACTTTAGGGAGTTG